TATATATATATATAATTTTGTAAGATAAAACTGTACAATTATGCTTCCAAACAATGGCCAAAAATAAGTTGTTTAAAATACATAATTCCTTTTTTTACGAATTGCACTTTAACTTGACCACATGATTATGCTCTTGAAGAGAGCCTCATTTACAAGACTGCTTGATTTAAAACGTGTGCACTAAGTAGCATCATATGATAAGTTGCATTTCAAAAGTTGCTAACTGTTAATCTACTGATGATTTAAAACATCTTATTAAAAGAGCTAGTGAGCTTGTTGTACTGTAAACTTGCAGCTTGCGGGAGTCTCATCAGATATATAAAGGATGTTTGGACATTCAAATAAAACGTTTAAAACAACTTTGTGTTGGTGTGTTTTTGATTGTAATGAAAACCTCCAATAGTTACCTCTGTGTGTTTTCCTTGGCAGGAAGCTACAAGTAAATTTTTACGACTGAAAAAATCCTGGTAGTGTGGAAGTTGGCAATTCCATAACCTGACCATATCAAAAACGTTTGTCTCCAAATTGTGTCTGAAGAAATGGCTACTAGCTTCAAATAATATGGCCAGCCTGCTGAAAAAGAATTCACAATAACCAGTAATATAGTCATCATCATTAACTTACTTTAAATTAATTGTTAAATTAATGTAAAATCCCGTGATACTAAGTTTAGGTTCGGAAAATGGGTGGATGGTTTTGTAAAATAAATATCTTCGTCAATGAGAGTTTATTGATGACTGTGGTGGCTAAGCTAAGTTTTAATACTGATAGGCCCGTTTAGTTATTGTTCCTTTTAGTATATTAACTACGACATTGTAGTAAAAACATTTTATGACGGAAAATAAGCTTTTAACATTTCCGTCACGTTGTAGAGACTCCAAACTTGAAATAAAAAACGCGTTTGTTTATTTCTTTTGATCCTCTCTACTTGCCGTTGCCGTGCGCGACAGCGCCAGTGCGATCATCATCATAATAATGCGCCGGATGCATTATACTTCTTTCACTGCGCACTTATCAGATTATGCCATTTTTAAGACGACTTGTAAATCTTTTGATGAAGACAGGGAGTCGCTTTTAATGTATGTTTTGCAGTGTATTAGAGAAACTGAGAAGTTACTGCAGCTGGAGTTTGAAGAGAAATTAGTGCGTCATTGTGAGCGGTGGCGACTTCAGCTTGAATCTGTCAGATCTTCTAGTCTGAGGAGATATATCCAGCTGGATACTATTGGGTCGGAGACACTCGAAACAAACCTTAACACGCACGTTTAGCGCATTTTAATTCTGATAAATCAGAAAGATCCCTGCCATTACAGCGACAGATGATGTCGGCGATGGAGGCTGTGTGTGATGGAGAGGAGCCAGAGGTGGTCACTGAGGCGTGTTTGCTGTCCGAGTTCAGTGAGAGAGGAGAGGCTCGAGCTCTCATCAACAATCTCCCGGACATTCATCACGACACGGTCAGCAGAGAGGCCACCATCGAGAAATTTGTGGGTAAGACAGTTTGTCATGTCTATCTATCTATCTATCTATCTATCTATCTGACTGCATCTATCTATCTATCTATCTGTTTGTCTAACTATATATCTCTTTGTCTGTCTGTATCTTTCTTTCTATCTGTCTGACTGCATCTATCTATGTATCTATCTGTCTGTCTGACTGCATCTATCTATATATCTCTTTGTCTGTCTGTATCTTTCTTTCTATCTGTCTGACTGCATCTATCTATCTGTCTGTCTGTCTGTCTGTCTATCTGTTTGTCTAACTATATATCTCTTTGTCTGTCTGTATCTTTCTTTCTATCTGTCTGACTGCATCTATCTATCTGTCTGTCTGTCTGTCTCTGTCTGTCTGTCTCTGTCTGTCTGTCTCTGTCTGTCTGTCTCTGTCTGTCTGTCTCTGTCTGTCTGTCTCTGTCTGTCTGTCTGTCTAACTATATATCTCTATGTCTGTCTGTATCTTTCTTTCTATCTGTCTGACTGCATCTATCTATCTATATATCTGTCTGTCTGACTGCATCTATCTATCTATCTGTCTGTCTGTCTGTCTGTCTGTC